AAGTATCAAGCGCAAGGAACTCGCTAAATTTAAATAATAAAAATTACTAATACTTAAATTGAAAAACTTTCACTAAAATTAGCTTTTTCTTGAATTTCAGTTCTCCACGTTTTTAAAGTTCACTTTCTGTGTTTGCTCACAAAATTTCGTAGTCATTTCTTCCTAAAAGCTATCATTCGAGTTTCTTTCATGAACATTCCAATTTTTAAATATTAAAAATTATGTATATGCTAGGGGAAGCTTAAAAATTTTAGAGAGGATTAGGTGGGGCATAGCACAAAAAACGTTGGGAAACACTGATCTAGCGTCTTATTATCAGAGGGGAGAGAGAATATTTTTTTTTTTAAATATATATAATTGAAAATTACTTGCAAGGGTACTTACATACTATTGCAACCACCTTGGCACAATTTGGTGACTTTGAATTCCCCAAGCTCATGCTTCTAAGGCAAAAAATATCACGATTCGTGTACAAAAAATCATTGGAACTTGGAATACAACAAAATAGAACAAATACGAAAACAGTGGTATTGCTTCATTGAAACGATCGTTATGAGTATGGTTGCCGGAAGAATGGTTATGCATACGGTTGCCAGAGTTTTTGAAAACACTTTCTGAAAATTTGGCTACTTCTACTAAGATAATTGCAATAGTACCTTTACAAGCTTTTATTCACAGTTTGGGAGATTTCTAACTTGCCATCACCAGTTTGTTTTGCCAGTGAAGCCAAACTGATAACCCTAAGGGTCTATTTTTGAATTTCGTTGTTTTGGGCTTGGTAAGTTTGATTTCAATGTTCTCTATTAATTCTTATGTATTTTTCATAGTACTACTTTTGAATCTCAATCTTAAATTCACTAAAATTTGTCTAATTAATTTCGTTTGCTTTATTTGACATAGGAATTTTTAAGTATGGATGTTTGTTTGTATTTCTTAAACGGACTGTTTCTACGTCGAGGAGGAATTCAAAAGATTTGGATGAACAGTTATAATTAAATAATTTAGAATGGTTCATCAGCTAATTTTTGGATGAACAGAAACAAAGTGGTTTCCTGGGTGAAAGTGTTTCAGGTGAGTCCAGTCTACATCTCCTGATAATGTTGAATCAAAATTTTGATTGCATTCCTCTCCCTCTATATTTCTAATAATTTTTGTAATTTTGTATTTCCCATATCTATAATTTTTCTGGTTTGGTGACTACTTTTTTTTTTTTTTTTTTTTTTGTTTTTTTAACATATCTGTAGAAATTTTCAATTGTACTCTTATCATTCATTTCCTTTGTGGATTATTTCTTATCTATAATATATCTGGTTTTGGTATATTTTTGAGGTATTTATTATTTTTAAGTTTTAATTTTCATATTTATTGAATTTTCATTTTGTATTTATTGGATATTTTGAAACTTATTAGCAATAAATTTCACTCTTTTTGGGTCTTTGTGCAGAATGTGTTCTAAATTTCTTACTTTTTGTGGTAAAAATATATTTTAGAGTACCCATTGGCAAAAACTGCAATTTTTTGGTACCATTCCTGTTTACGTCCAATGTCCCCCCCCCCATTAAAATGGCTTCCAAAACATAATGCAGTAAAACATAATTAAAACAAAAAATATATAATCTCAGTAAACTTCATTTTAAATCACACAAGGAAATAAGATAACATGTTATGCAATGTATGCAATACAAAAAGGAAATATCGACTTACCTTATTTAAAAATTTCTGTTTCTTTGGTATGTGACCCACACAGAATTCCTTAACAGCATCAAAAACTATTTAAAATTATATAAACTAAAATCTGTATACTGCTATCACCAAATAAATTCACAAAAGTAAAAATGAAAAATATTCTCCGTACTGCCAATGGTATTTCTTTCGAAAATCCCTTTTATTACACCTCACATAACCTTTCATAGTGTGGCTATGAGTTGTCTTCATTTACACACCAGTCAATCAATGTTTCCCCCCCCCCAATCATTGTAAAGGGTGCAGAAACTTCAGGTTAATCCTACCACCAGCAGGCATTTTATGGTGTAGAGCACAAAATAAGCAATGTACTTCCTAACCAACATTCAACACATAAATGAGCCCTTAGAAATATTTTCCCATCAGTCAAATGTTCAGCTAAAACCACTTTTATGTTAAACTAGTAAGCTGAATAATTCACGAGTAACATTTAGAGTCGAATAGTTTAGAGAAGATTCTTTAGACGTATCAACAAACAAGACTCAAGGAAACACCCTACTTTAGTCTTATCTCTACAGAATCTCATTTAAATTCTGTAAATTACTGTTTTATTAACAGAGGGTATTTCGGCTACAGTTCGACAAGTTACTTCCTTTGCACTCTAATTTAATTTTATATGAACTAAATTGGCCAAAATGATGTGTGTACTTTTTCAGATGTAAACCTACTTTAAATGCAAGGCTTGAATTAAATAGAGAAATCTGCTTTAGAGAATTGAACAACTGGTAAAAATTTTGTTGCACTGCATAAACCTTCAAACACAAACTTCAAAGTAAACAATAAATTAATTAACACCAATTTTTGCTTTTCCTTTATTTTGTATCTTCCTTTGATTTTGATAATTTTCTTTATTGGATTCTAACCATTATTCTTAACATGGATATTTCAAAAATTAATTTTTAAGATGAAGAATAATTTTAGGAGCCTAACATCTACAGCCAATAGTTTTAGATTATTGATAATAACATTAGTATTTACCAATTATTGAAATGTATATGAAGGGGATGAAGTTAAACTTATTTAATTTAATAAATTTAAACTAATACTTTTGTTTCATAATTTATATATGAAAATCAAACGTTTAATTCTGAAACACCAGTCATTAAACTTATAATGCAAATAGAATTTTATCTGTTTCTCTGACTATAAAGTTAAACTGCACTTAGCTACTTGAAAATATAAAATATTAGAATCTTATCAAAATTAAAATTTTAATTATTGAAAAAAAACTAAATTTTTATCATATAACCACAATTATATAATTAAATAATTACGATGATTTTATTCATTACATGTATTAAAACACTATTTTCTTAATAGTGAGCCATTGTGAATGTAGATTTGCACTTTTTATTGCAGCATTTGAGACTGCAAAAACAATTCTGAGAGATGATGGAAGTACCCTTGTATATTTTAGTGGAAGATGAGTGCTGAAAGTATTTTTAGGTGAAGATGTCCTGAATATGTGTTGGACCATGTTAAAGACTTTCTTTAGGTTGATCTTATTAGTTTATGAACAATTACCAAATCAACAACCTTGTTGCATGACTGTTTAAACACAGGAATAGAAACAAAACTGTTCTCTAGAAGCTGATGGCATCCATTCACAATGTCCTCTCTTGCAGATAATAAACATATCATTATAATAAAAATCTTCACTTGTAAATAATCCAGTTGCTTTGTATAATTAGTTACCTATTGCTATAATAAATATGATGTAGTTGAACATACAAATGGCAAAATATTTGAATGACAATTCTGAAATTTGAAAATCAAATGTGTGAAAATTGTTCCTTTTATTTATTTAACATAGGAAATATAAAGAAGTTTAGTTTCAGAATTATTATTGTCATAGATTATTATTAAAGATAAGTACCAATTATCATTTTTTGTATGGCAGATGTAGAAAGTATTCTCACATTCCTGAAGATACATGGGGCTTGTTTCACTTTATTGCAGAAGACTTCCTGCGACGACAATTTAGGAAATGACACTGCAATGAAATTCAGATATTCCCCACTTGCTTTCTCAAACTTAATAAAAATCGAGAAGGTCATGCAACATTTCAGCTAAACAATACATTCAGCTTTAACATTTTAATTGAAATTTACAAATCTAAGAAAAAAAAAATCCACTCAGTGTTTTAACTGTCAGCAATATGGCCATACTCAACACAACTGTTTTAATAAAGAACAATGCTGCAAATATTGTAAAAAAATTATTGAAACATTCCCTTTAAAGAAAAAGATAAATCTATATGTTTATTCTGTGGTGAAAGTCACGTCAATTCTTTTCATGGATTTGTTACAAGAAAAGGTATGGAACAAAAACAACTTTACTAAATGCTAAACCACCTCAAAATCTAAGTTTAACCAATTTCCAAGCCTTAATTCTAAACAATGTTGAAAAATTCTCAATTAGAAATCCAGAATAAGCTTCTTACAGCTTAAAATTAAAGAAAAACATCACTGCCAAATCCAATAAATTATAAGAAATTTTTAAGATGAAAAGACCATCGCTTTCATTCAAAAAGTCTTACAAATTGTTAAGGAAATCAGACAAGCAAAGACTATGCATTAAAATTATCAGAGAATTTTGTGCCATGGATGCCAACATGCCGTTAGTGTAGGGGGTAAGCAAGTAGTAGCCAAATAGCAAAACTCAAGATTTCCCCTTTTGCAGACCTGAAGATCAGAAGTTTGATTCCAGCTCGTATGACTTTTCTTTTCTACATGATATTTAGTCAAAATTTACTTCAATGACCTCTTTTTACTGATCAATTATTTTTAATTTGCATCTTATGCCTCTCAGGTGCAACCTGAGAGGCAAAATAATAAATAAAATAATTTGTTGTAAAAAAGTGCATTAACTTTTTTACAACAATGAACAATTGGCATATGTAACAAGATAATGCATATTGTAGCTGATGACTCGTAAGATGTTAGGTTAAAGGTTATAAGAAATAGATTACAATAAATAAAAGTTCTGATTAAGTCTTTTTATTCGATTCCTTGTTTTAACTTTTAATGGTAATTTTTAGTCAAAACAAAATTTCTGCTATAAATATAATTATTTATTTAGTCATGAAACTGGACAGTCTTTTACAGCTTTATTAATTGGATAAAAGTGCAAGACTTTTCTCTCAAACTGAAAATAGTGCGAGACATTTCCCTCGAGCTCAACCTTCCATACAAAAATAATAGTTTGCAAAATATGGAAAACTCAGATTATTAAGATAAAAATTGAAATGAACTTACAGATTTTAGTGATCTTCTTACAAAAGGTAAAAGATCTTCCCTTCCAGCATGAAAATTCAGATGGCTAAACAACAAATATCTGAAAAAAAAAAAAAAAAAAAAAGATTTTAAAAATGAAAGCATTCTAATTAACAGAATATAAATACATGTATACTTCCTGGATTAATATTTTATCGCCTCACACTGACAATATTTCCAATCTCAATATATATATCTATTGATATATATAATGCAAAATAAAATTTACTTTTATTCATTCTTTATTCAATTTGGAATAAACCAAATGCAAATACTCTCCCCCCCTCAAAAAAAAAAAAAAAAAAAAAACTGAAGCACTGCCCAAACTTCAAGAAAAGAGGGTCAAAACTAAAAATGAAATTTATTTTTTTCTGCTTGCAACAAAAGAAGCAAATAAATAAAATAGAATGTTTCTCAACTGACAGAGACACAAATTTAAGTTTAAAATTCAAAAATAATCTTAGAAAAACAATCAAGGTAATCTGTGCCCTTATCAGCCCAACCCCTACAGGCTGGAAGTAAGCAGTACAAAAACAAATTAAAAATGATTGCAAAAAAATAGAAAAGATTTTAAAATATTTTGAGCAAATCACTTCCCAAAACAAAACTTCCAAATATAATAATCGAAAAAACAAAACCATATACAAAATTTTTATTTCAAAATTGGAAAAAAAACAAAACTATTTGTAAATTTGTGTTTTCTTCGGCAAAGAACTCGTTGCATTTCTTTGCGGAAGTGCTTCTGTAAATTTTATAAAAATATACAGGCCAGATTAAAAATAGTAGCATAATTCATAAACAAGAAAAGAAGCTCAAAAATCTAAATAAAATTTTTCAGTTTGAATGGAACAAGACTCAGAATATGAAAAAAATAGTAATCCAACATCTGCAAAAATAAATGAAAATTTGATTTTTAATATATAAAATATAAATTAGAGGAATAAGTTCTTGAAATCTGTATCACAAGAGCAAAAATGGGAGAAAAAAAAAATATATGTACATATATATATACACACACACACACACACACACCTGTATCGCAAAACCTAAAATTAGAAAAAATATATATATTATTTTAAAACTGATTCTCCTCAATAAGGATGATTAGAAAAATATCTACTGTATAAGTAAAAATGAAAAAGCCTTAAAAGAAACATCAGAGTACCTGGATTGATTACTTCATTATTTGAAATACCGCCAATTTAACTTCCCTTCAGTTCAACGAATGGAAAAAGTTGTAGTGAAGGTCCGTAGAACGGACCTTGAGTTGTTGTGTTAAATATAAAAATAACAAAAGTGGGGAAAATTTTTAAATAATAATAAATGAACTTAAAAATTAAAATTGTGATGCAGTAAGGACTGTATTTAGAAAACTGTTAGCAAAGTTGTGGGCAAACTATGAATTTAATAAATTTATTATAAATTATAAGTAATCAAAAATAGAAGAAAGGCAGAACACGGAACTTCGTCAAATGTTACAGAATATAAAACTCACACAAGCGAGCTTACTTGAGACTTGGAAGACAATATAGGCCTACTTTGTTTGTGAAAGAGGTAGAAAACTGTTAGACAGTTTAATCTAAGTTAAAATCATGTTAGAATTTTGACAAGAACACCCGTGTTAAAAATATAACACCATATGAAAGTATAACACCATATGGAAAACAGCAATTTGATTAATAAAACACCATGAAGAAGTTCGAAAGCTTTTAAATGGAATTCATATAAAATTACGCTAACATCCGGCGTTCTATTTTGCTACTGGGTTTACCACCCGCGGCCCACCTTGACCCACGGCTACATCTTATATTGACACTGAACCAACGAGTTCATATAACAGGTAATTTAGTATACTATCTCGTTGCACTGAACTTGCCACCCTCCCCCCTCATTTTTCGCCGCCGCTGGTGCGGACTTCACTCTCTTTTATCCGCCTCCTACACTTCCTTCCACCCTACTCTTTCTCCTCCTATCCGATCCTTATCAGAAGTCAAGTAAAAAGATTTTCTACATCTTGAAACTCGAGAATAAAATACGATCTGTGTGTGTGAAGCAGCAGGTTTTCAGAAATTTAGAAGCCTCACTTCACATAGTTTTGTAAAATCGAATTCAAAGTTTGCAACTGAATCCAACAGTACAAGCTTTGAAAATGTCGGCATGATAGTCAAACAACGAAGTTTGAAAGCTTTACACATAAGTAATCCATTATCTTTTTGTTCCTCCGATACTTAGATATCTCCCTTCCGATCTGCATGAGAGAAGCCAAGCATCTCATCCAAGAGGCTTTCATGTCACAATGGCAAGAAAGATGGGAACAAGGGGACACCGGAAGATACACCTTCGCAATTTTCCCGAACGTTAGGCTGTCAAGAGTTTACTCGAACCACTACACGGTTCAGGCCCTTTCCAATCATGGAAGATTCCCCCCAATATTTTGAGATGTTTCTACATTTACACGTCAAGTGCAGTTTTGGATCACCCGCCAGCACAGCAGATGCCATCCATTACATCACTTCATGCCCACTCACTAAGTCGCTTAGATCTCCAGCCAACACCACCCTACTCCATAGTAAAGGTCTCAGAGGTTACCTAACGGATTTCTACGGTCTTCAGGAAGTAAAACAGATTGTCAACTTCGTCAATGACAACAAGACCATCATACAAGTCATACCAGGTTAAAACCTGACGATATGTAAAGGCAGCATGCCTTATATAAGTATGTAAATAGCTCACTTTTTCATATATATATTCAAATTACTAATCAAACTTGTGTTCACTAATATAACTATTCAATGTAAGTTGGAAAAACCAACATCAAATTGTATTTATAAATGTAATTTGCTTTGTAATTAATTAATAACAAATTACCTGTAGTGCCTAATGAGAGACGAGGCAGGCTAAGAATAAATATTATTATTATTATTATTATTATCTTTTTGTTCGATCTAAAATATTTCTTCTACTTTTCGTCAGCTCATATAAGGATTCAATTAACACACCTGAATATGAGAACAGGCTTGTTTAAGTTTAGAGAAGGGAAAGAGCTTTGGCAGCGGCGCTGAAAATTATGCTATTTCCTCGCGAAGATCTTTAAATATTGTAGACCGGCGTTAGCCTTTTGCTAGCTGAGTTACCCGCACAGTTAGTTCAAAATTAAACCAACGCCTATAAGGGTTTTGAGTTTGGGAATTTCCAGCATTAAATGATTCCAATTTTTAATTTAAAACCATATTTTAAAGTTACCTGATAGGCCTAAAGCTGCGAAAATTAAGCTGTAAACACAAAAGATGCCTTTGTCAAGTTTTCAATAAAACGTTTGTTAAAAACATTCTTCTGATTTCTAGTACCTTAACAGACGGGACGAAAAGGGGACTAAGTTCAAGTTAAGGAGTAGTACCCTGTAAGTGCAAGTTGAAAATATATAGCTAAAAAGACTTAGTTTCATAAAGGGCAAAGCACATATGCTGAAATATTTTTAAAATATGAAAGAGTAAAAATAAGAATTAATAAATAAAATTACTTAATAGGGATTTTATTTTTTCAGTTCTATACTTTTAAGTAGTAATTCAAATTTTAAGTAAATTTAAGAGTGACTATGCAGTTAAAATTCTTAAAATCTCATTAATATCTAATTTTTACTTCCTTGTACGAAGTAAAAAGGAAGTATTGTAATCGCGAAAGGTTTTAGGCAGCATATTTCAAGGAAAATATCCATTTTGACCGCTATCGAATGCAATTTAACGATGTTTTTGTGTGATATCTGTACGTAAGGACAGAATAAAATACTCTTTTCCTTCAAAAAAATTATAAAACTGCTTTAAAATTAATTCTGAAGAGAATTTTTCGTGGCGTCTGTACGATCGTATGTACGTACGTGCGTACGTACGTATCTCGCATAACTCAAAAACAAGTAGCCTCATAACGTTGAAATTTTGTATATAGGACTGCTATAACATGTAGATGTGCACCTCGTATTTTGGTTGCAATCGGCCGCACCAAACGTATATAAATATATTTATATATATATCCACTCTATTACCCGGCTCAGTGATCTCAGTTTCCTTACTCTTATATGTTTGTAAATTGTACATTTTTGGCTTTAAAAATGATTGAATTATGTTGTTTCTATCTTCCGGTTAAGGATTTTATGCCTTTAGTAAATCTGTGTGCAATATTTTTAGAATTATCAGCAATTTTAAAGTTGTTTAATTGCCGATAAGCCTGTTTTTAATGGCGGCCATTGATGTTTACATTTGAGACAGGAGACTAGTGGATTTGTTGCCAATCTAGAGAAACTTAGTTTCGCAACAACAAAGATAACGCATTCATTTATTATTGCCAATTAAATCATACTTAATTCTTTCTGGAATTTTTTCGAGGAAATAAGCGTTTGAGATTTACTTCGTAATTTTTAATATAGATATTTTAAGTTTTTATGTATTTTTGCCTTCTTGCGAAGTGAGAACTGAATTAATTAAATGAGAAATACTCAACCGTCTGTGAAAAACTGCTTTTTTTTTTTTTTTTTTTTTTTTTGTTGTTGTTGTTTTGCTTATTTTTTTTATACATAGTTCTAGCTTTATTATAGTATTTGAATAGAACATATGGCAACGATTAGATAATTCTTTAAATGATATAAATTTTGTGCATTCTGAGTTATAATATGAATGAAATATAATACTGTTAAGTAAACCTAGCGCCAGAGTGTCGATATGGTAAACAAAGTGAATTTTAAAGAATGCATTTATTCTATTGTGGTTTATGCGCTGTCGGCGAAGTAGGTTTAATTCAATCTAATAAGTTTAAATAAAATGCAAGAAAAAATGCGTATAATTTAATATTCCGTACAAGGAAGTCATGTGGTGTACACATCAGATTTTTTATTTCATATTTCTTAAAATTCTGTTCATTATGTAAATAAATAAATCTGATTATGAGAAGGCGTTCTAAAATTTTATGAAGGAATAGAAAAATAAAAAATAAAAATAAAAAGACAAAATCTGAAAAGTTTCAGATTTTAAAATACCTCCAAAGAGGCTTTTTTTTTTTTTTTTAACGTTT